CCCACTGTGTGCCCCCGACCCCGAAGCCCACGTGTGGCAGGAGTGGGCAGTGTGGAAGGCTGAGTGAGTCCACAAGGGAGTGGAGCGGCTGAGGACAGCATTCCAGGCCCAGGGAACAACCAGTGCAAAGACCCTGGGGTGGGATTGAACGTGTTTAGGAAGTGACAGAAACTTGGACTGCTGGGGGTGGGGGGCTAGAGGCTTCAGAGGCGTGGAGAGGTGGAGACAGGATGGGGAAGGGCCTTCAGTCCAAAGGGTCCCCTGCCCCTCCTCAGTTTCGTGTCTGTGACATGAGTGGTGTTGGGGTGGGGGTAGGACATGTAGTCTGCCCTTGGTATATGGGAGGATCCTGGGACGGGCAGGCAGGGAATGTTGTCTGAATGACTTTGCGCACAGACTCCCTCAGTCTCAGAAGTGAAGAGCTCTGGCTGGGCGACTTGATGGCTCAGTGGCCTAGTCACTAGGCTGCAAACCGAAAGGTCGGCGGTTCGAACCCACCGACCGCTGCAAAGGAAAAACATGAGGCCATCTGTTTCTGTAAAGATGTACAGATAAAGCACTGGACCACATGGTCTGAACCACCGTGAGGTCAGTGGTTCAAACTCAGCAGCCACTCCTCGGAGACCCTACACAGGGTTGTTATGAGTTAGAACTGACTCGATGGCACTTAGTGCAACGGCCAAAAAGAATGGCAAAGGAAGGAAGAGGAAGACACGGGAGGATTTCAAGGGTTAAAGGAAGCAGAAGTTAATTACTGTTATAAGACACAATCCTACAATAACAGTGATCTGCACTTTGAACCAAGAGGTCGGGGCTTGAGCCCGTCCCCCACTCTGTGGGAGAAAGATGAGGCTTTCTGCTCCCACAAAGATGTATAGCCTTGGAACCCTATGAGTTGGCACCGACTCGACAGCGTTTAACAGAAGTGGGTACCTAGACAGAACAGATACACAGCCCGAACGGGTGTAGGAGGAAGACTGGGAACATCCCCACAAATAGAGAACTATCTGACATTTATAAAGGGCTTTTCCCCTTTGCTGCAAATAAATCCACAAATGTGGTGAAGAGTTGTTGTTAAGTACTGTGGAGTTGGTTCCGACTCATAGTGACCCTGCACAGGGTTTCCGAGGCTGTAAATCTTCACGGGAACAGAAAACCTTATCTTTCTCCTGCGGAACAGCTGGTAGTTTCGAACTGCTGACCTTGAGGTTAGCAGCCCGATTCGTAACACCTACGAAGTATACATAGGGGAAAAGTATGAAAACTTCTTAGATGTTACCAAACACCTTGAGGAAGGAACGTCTGGGCCTAGCGATCCAAGACCACAGTCTCAGGGACACCATGGTCAGTTGGCATAATGTAGTCCCCAAAGACAATGTGTGTCATCTTACTCTGGTGAATAGTGACTGGGATTGTAAAAACTCGATGCAACTATTGGTCTCTCCCCGTGCGGAGGAAAGAAGAATAAAGAAAATCAAAGACACGTGAAAAGACATGAGTCCATCTGGACTAAGGATCATGTGAACATGAGTTTCCCGAGACCCTAGGAACTAGATGGTGCCCAACATCCACTACCAAGTGCTCTGAGAGGCATCACATTAGAAGGTCCCAGATAGAATGGGACAGGATGTGGAACAAAACTCAAATTGTAAAAGAGAACAAGTATACTGTATGGTCAGATAGAAATTAGTAGAACCCTGAGACTGGTCCCCCTTCAGATCTGGAACTGAACTCACCCCCGGGGCTGAATTGTCAGCTAAGCAAATAGATGGGTGTGTAGTGGAGATGGAAACAGGAAACCCAGGGGGGAAGTGGGATCGTGATAGGGCATTCAGGGGATTGTAGTCACTGAGATGAAATGACATGAATGAGCTGTTGAATGTGACACTGATGTTTAACTCTGGCCTTCACTCAACTCACTCCCAAGAAAAAGTTCTTAAAAAATAAGATGGACCTCCTCAGCAATCCTATGGGACAGTTCTACCCTGTCACTGTGCGTCAGGACTGGGCATTTTGGGTTTTGTTTTCTTGTGTCCTCGCCCCATTCTAGACGTCAGGAGTCGACCTGACAGACTCCCTGGCATTCCAGTGAGGCAGGCCGAGCAAAACTGAGACTGATGTTTAAAAGGCACTGTGGCAAGAAATTCTGAAGCGGATAGAGTGCCGCCTAGAGATGGAAGGGACCAGCAGTGAAATGGCCACAATGTTAAGAGTCGGGAAGTGTGTCCCACTGCTTGGAACAGCCAGGCAAAGTGCAGTGGGAGGAGGTGGAGAAGGAGGTGGGACCTCTGGGCCTGGGGGCCACAGGGAGAGGGTAGCTTTATCTCAGGAGCAGAGAGGCCCCACACACTCCTCCTGCCCAGGACCCAGCACTTACCCTACCCCCACCCCTGGGAAATCAGATTTTGGGGGGAAGGGAGGGCCCGGTGGCTTATCTCCACCCTCAGACCTAGAGAAGGGGTTTCCGGAGTTTTGCCCAATCTCCAGCCCTGGTTTGTGGCTGGGGTGGTGGGCAGCCTCTGAGGCCCAGTTAGACGCTTGCTGGGATCAAGGGGGCAGGGAGGAGGGGGACCACAGTGTGGGCTGGCCAAGGGATGCTTTGTGGCTGGGAGGTGCAACCCAGTGCCCGTCTTCTGCTAGCTCTGAGGTCTGGCCCACAAGATGGTCTAGACAACCATCCCCAGCTGGCTGGGCAGGGCGGGACCTATCCCACACAGGGGAGCGGAACTGGGGGCCCACAGCCCCATAAAGCCGGTGGTCTTTACTGCCTGGCTTTGTTGTCCGTTGCCGGCAGCAGTGGCCATTTAACGCCGACAGCTGGGGCGCCCTGCAGTCCCCTCTTTATGGCCTGGAATCAATGCCCAAGCCCCACGGGGGTCTAACCAAGCCCCTACCGCCTGTCCACCCACCGTTTGGTCTGGGGGGGGGCAGTTATCAGCCCCCTGTTGAGCCGGCCTGTTTTTGCCAGCCCCGCCCCACCCCACAGAGCAGCTGTTCACTACCCTAAGCCTCAGTTTCCCCACCTGGAAAGTGGGATCATGGCAGCTCCTGCTGGCCAGGGTGGTCTTTGCCAGACAGATAGGAAACTGAGGCAGGAGGGCAGACAAGGGCCTTTGGAAGGCCGGCTTCAGGCGCACTGTCTGAACTCTCTCTCCACCCAGGTTGGAATCTGAGGTGGTTTTAGGCCCCTCCTCTGGGAGGACCACCCTGGTTCATTGGTCCCCGAGTGTCCTGGGACCATGGTGATGGAGTCCCACAGCTGAGGGGTTTCCTCTCAGTCTGGGTATCAGAAGCCCGCGATCCGGGTGGCCATCTCAGCCATCGTCTCCACGTAGTCTGAAGGATACGAGTCATTGGGCTCAGGGCCCACCCTAAATCCAGGTCTCGTTAAGGTCCATCCTGAGGTTTGGGGGGGCCCCTGACCTAGGTGGCAGGCCTCCGAGGTCCCCGACATGGCACCTCATCTGTAACACTCAGCCTTCCCTGCATACCCACGGAACAGCTGACCAGGTCTGTGGCCACTTATGGCATATTTACTAAGCAGCTGTGTGTTTGCCTGATTGTCCACACTGTCAACGCACCACACAGATATCCCGGATGTTCCAGTGGGGCTGACGGAGAAGAAAGCAGACAAATGACTCCGCTTCCTCTCAGCTCAGCTGATGGACGCAAAAGGAGAGAGCGGGCATGGAGGGTGTCCCTGGGAGGGTGTCCCTGGCGAGGCACCGCGTGGTCCATGGGGGTCCCGTCTAACAGAGGGAGCTGGGGATAGGGTATGGCACAGGCGGACAGGCATGTGCACGCCTGCTGGACAGTCCAGTTAGTCCAACCGCCAGCATGTCCACCTGCAGGCCCCACGGCCCTCGGGCAGCTGAGGGCTGGGGGAAGCTTGCGCCTCCCTGGCCATCATAAATCATCACAGGAATGCAGGCTGGCCAGTCTGGTCCTGGCTGGCGGGGAGGGGTGGAGACAAAGGAACCGCAGCTGGCCCTCTGTTTAGCTGACCACCCAGGGCCCAGTTTGGGCTCCTTGTTCCACCAGACTCTTTGGGGGGAGAGGGAGGGTCTCACATTGTCCCCATTATCCAGATGGGGACACCAAGGCCTTCCTGGGATCTAGCATCCAGGCCCCTGGCTCTAATGAGGGATTATCCCAGTCAAGGCTTAACTGGTGGTTTCAAGGCCCCCCACAGCCCTGATTCTCCGAGTCTAGGCGGCTCTGTGATCACATTCCCCAGAGCTTAATTTAAAGCCTACTATTCCTCACTGCTCCTCCTTGGTGACTCCCGGATCACCCCCCACCTGAACTCCCGCTCTCTAATTATCTCTGCCGGCTTCCCCTACACGCCCCTGTCTGCCCGCCAGCACCTGAGCTAATAGTTGGCTGGGCGGGGGACAGCCCTCTCCTCTGTCTCCTCATCTCTCCCTGGTCGTAACCTAGAGGGCAGAGACTTTTGTCAACTTGTTCTATAGTCAGGGAAACTGAGTCACCAGGAGGTCACATGCCCTGGTATCACCTAGAGTCAAACTGAGGCAGGCGCTGCCAGGGACGAGGCCCCATCGGTGCACCTCAGGCGAGCGCTGGTATGGGTTGGATTGTCCCCCTGAAAGGACACACTGGGGCTCTGAGCCTGGTACTTGCCAACGTGGCCGCGTTTGGAAATAGGGTCTTTGCAGATGTCATGGGTAAATGAGGACACACTGGAGCCAGGCTGTCCTTACGTTGTTGTGGTTGTTGAGTTGTTTCAAACTCATAGCAACTCTGGATAGGGTTTCCAAGGAGGGCTGCTGGGTTTGAACCACCCACCATGCAATTAGCAGTCCAGTGTTTATTTCTACAGCGCCACACCAGGACTCCTTATAAGAGGGAAATGAGAACAGAGATACAGAGGACAGATGACCACATGTGAGGTGGCCACAAGCCCAGGGATGAGAGGCCCGTCCCCTGGGGCCTGCTCTGTGGGGTGGCACTGCTGACCTCCTCCCTCTCCACCCTTGCAGCTCTATGAGCTTGATGGGGACCCCAAGAGGAAGGCGTTCCTGGACGACCTGTTCAGCTTCATGCAGAAACGAGGTGAGTCCAAAAGGGGGAAAGAGTGGCTCCTTACTGTCCCGGATTTCCAGAGAGGGAGACCGAGAGCCCACAGAGGCAGGAAGAGGTGGCGCCGCGGGGTCCACCGGGCACTCAGGGGCCCAGCCTTCGCTTTGTCCAGGGCCTCCGCCAGCCCCTCCCTCCAGCCTGGAGCTTCTGTAAACACAGCCCAGCCAGGCTGGCTGGGAGGGAAGGAGATGAAAGGGGAGGGGGACTGCCCGGACCCCCACTGCCCAGCGGCCTTAGGTTAACTCCTCCCGTGCCGGGGGTGGAGGTGGGGCCCCTTTCATATTATCGGTCAGGCCCAGCTCTGGCCTGGGGCCTTCTTCTCCTCATATGGCCCCAGAGGGCCCCTTCCCCCACTGTCTTTATCATCTGTCCACCTCCCTGCGCCCCCTCCCCATTGCCAACCCGGTTCACCAAGAACGGCTCCTCAGTTCCCAGCACAGTGCCTGGTGTCCCAGTACAAGGAGCTGACCCAGTACAATGGATGCCAGGTGGGGCTCCCTACCACACAGAGCTTCGGGGTTCTGTATTCCTCCATCCTTGCCCCCTTACCCAATTGGCCATCTTGGAGGGCAGGATCCAACCAACTCCTATGCATCCCTCAAAGCCCCAGCTCCAAGGCTCCCTCTTCCCTGCCATCCTCTTGGACCCCCTCTGTAACTGGCATCCTTGTTGTCACCCAAAAGCCCCTCTCTCAATGCACCAGAGGGAAAGCCATGCCCCTCAACATCACCAGCTCTCTCTCAGAATGCTCTGGGGCCTAGAGATGCAGACAGGAGCCGGGCATGTTTCCTCCATGACAGCCCCTTCCTTATCTACACCACTGCCTGGCTCCTCCATCATTGCCTTTCTCTGTGGTTCCTTCTGTAAACACCCACCACAGGGTCCCTTACTGCAAGTCCTGCCAATCCTCCTCAGTGAGAAGACTGAAACCAGAGTTCTTGAGGGGACGAGGGGACGTGCAGGGTCGCTGATGGGTCTGTGCGTGGGACTGTTGTGCCCGCCTTCCCCCTCCCACAGCTTGTCCTCGATTTGTTGAGGGGAAGGGCCAGGGCTGCCCACTGAAGACGCCAAGGGGGGATGGGAGGTATTTGACACCCAGCCCAGGAGCACAGGAACAAGGAGAAGGTGGGATCCCAGCCTCACCATGAGAGCTGGTCACTTGTGTTGGTCACTTCAGTGGGTTGTCGTTCACCAGGTACCCCCTAGTGGGACTACTGGGGGGGATATGGATGGGGGGGCGCCCAGATGCTGGACCCTGTGTAAGCAGAGGGACGGAGGTGTGGACAACAGCAGGCAGGAGTGGTCAGCTAACACGGGATGGCACAGGAGATGCAGGACACGAGGAGTGGGGAGAATGTGGGGGCTGGAGGGGTATCATGGAGGTGGGGATAGAAGGCAGAGGCTGGACATGGGGCCACAGAGGGGGTCAGAGCCTGAGGCTACCACCCTCCCTTCCCCAGGCTAGCCCAGTTCTCTCCCTTCCCCAGGCTAGCCCACCACCCTCCTTTCCCCAGGCTAGCCCACCACCCTCCCTTCCCCAGGTTAGCTCAATTCCTCCCTTCCGCAGGCTAGCTCACTACCCTCCCATTCCCAGGCTAGCCCACCACCCTCGCTTCCCCAGGCTAGCCCACCACCCTCCCTCCCCCAGGCTAGCCCAATTCCTCCCTTCCCCAGGCTAGCCCACCACCCTCCCTTTACCAGGTTACCTCAATTCCTCCCTTCCCCAGGCTAGCCCACCACCCTCCCTTCCCCAGGCTAGCCCAATTTCTCCCTTCCCCAGGCTAGTTCACTACCCTCCCTTCCCCAGATGTCCACCCTCCCTTCCCCAAGCTAGACCATCTCTTCCCATTCTTACCCAGGCTAGCCCACCTCCTCCCTCCCTTCCCTGGGCTAGCCAACTCACTCCCTCCCTCCCTCTGTCTCGCCAGCCCACCCTCCTTCATTCCCTAAGCTGCAAGTGAGTTGGCTAGCCCTCCCTCAGGAGGTTGCTAGGCACCCAGGTCCTAGCAGATGGGCCTCTGGGAGCTTGTGGGAAGCTGTATTAGTATCTGTTGTGGTAGAAACCGAGGTCTCAGCCAAGCTACCTGTACAGTGTTTGTCATGATGCTCTCCCCTCTGCCCCCGGACACACAGTGATGTTTGGGGACGTTCTAGTTGTCACAGTTAGGAGGCTGCTCAACACCCTCACAGAGCACAGACAGCCACCCCAGAGGAAGATCCTGCTGAGAGGGAGGCCCTGTGTGATTGTCTAGAAAGTACTGAGTAAATCCTAGTTCACACCATCCACCAGAATAAACAGGCGGACCCCCAGACCCTGAGATTTCCCTCCTCCCCACTCAGTGTGTGGGGTTCCATGTGGGTAGCGTCCTAGGACATCAGGAAGTCAGATGATAATGGGACGCGGGGTCTCTTGGGGGTCAGTGGGATCCCCTAATCAAAGGGTTCTTGCCTGGGACTGTTCTGCCCTCATGGGACACTGTCGGTCTCTGGGGACAGTCTAGTTGTCACAACTTATGGAGGGGCTGTTACTGGCATCGATTGGGTGGAGTAGAGGCCAAGAATGCAGAGCTCTGGAAGGCCCCCAGGTCTGCGCCTCACCTGCCCTCCCTGCCCCCCGCCCCCCACCAGGGACACCCGTGAACCGCATCCCGATCATGGCCAAGCAGGTGCTGGATCTATTCATGCTGTACGTGCTGGTGACGGAAAAAGGCGGCCTTGTGGAAGTCATCAACAAGAAGTTGTGGCGGGAGATCACTAAGGGCCTCAACCTGCCCACCTCCATCACCAGCGCTGCCTTCACCCTTCGCACCCAGTGAGTCCTGGGTGCATGGTGGCGAGGCTCACGTGGCGATCTGGGGGCAGGTGTTCTGAGCAGAGGGACAGACCAGGGAGGCTGGGCTTAGACCACCCAGGACACCGCCACACAGTGAAGGGTTCAGGCCCCTGCCCAGCTCTGTCGAAATGATGCACATTGAGATTTGGGGGATTTGGAGGAAGTGGTGAAGGGCTCCACTGCTGACCAGAAGGTTGGAGGTTCAAACCTACCCAGCAGCGTAAAGTTCACAGCCTATGTATGGTTTGTTGGATGCAAAACTGATGATCTTGTCTGTAAACCTTCACTCAATTCACAATAAAAAGTTTTTTAAAAATTTAAAAACAATGATAGCCTAGGAAATCCTGTGGGGGTAGTTCTCTACTTGTTCAAATGGGTGGCTATGAGCTGGAACCACCCAATTGGCGGTTATAAGGATAACGCAGTGGTAGATCAGTGTTCACTGGTAGGATTCTCTCCTTACACGCAGGAGTCCCAGGTTCGAGTCCCAGCCAATGCATCCTGTGCACAATCATCACTGACCTGTCAGTGGAGATTTGCTATTGCTAGGATGGGGGACAGGTTTCAGTGGGGCTTCCAGACTGAGAGGGAGGGGCTGGGAGGAAATGCCTAGTAATCTCGGAAACCCGGTGGATCTCTGGTCTGATCAGCCAATTGTGGGCATGGCACGTGACTGGGCAGCATTGCACACCATTGTTCATGGGGCGGCCATGAGTCAGGCGGACTTGAATGCAGCTAAGAACGGGAAAGGCCAGGCAAGCCACAGGCAGATGATGCACGGTGGTGAGGCAGGGAAGGTGGGAGTTTTCTCTGTGCTGAGGGCACCAGGGAGTCACGGGAGGCATCCCAGGTGCCATCCTCTCCCCCTGCCCCCTGCCCACAGATACATGAAGTACCTGTACCCCTATGAGTGTGAGAAACGTGGTCTCAGCAACCCCAATGAGCTCCAGGCAGCCATCGACAGCAACCGTCGCGAGGGCCGGCGCCAGAGCTTCGGGGGCTCCCTGTTCGCCTACTCTCCCGGTGGGGCCCACGGCATGCTCTCCTCACCCAAGTTATCTGTGCCCTCCTTGGGCTTGGCCGCTAGCACCAACGGCAGCTCCATGACCACGGCCCCTAAAATCAAGAAAGGTAAGGGGATGAGGGTGGTCTCGGGTCTGGTCCCAGCCTAGCTGTGTGACCTTGGGGGCATGCCTCTTTCTCCTTCTCTGAGTAACCAGTATAATACACATCAAGTTGGCAGGAATAGAGGGCATTCCCAATACTGTGACCAGAACAGGCATTACTAATCAACCACCATTTCCCAACTGTGCGCCCACTCATAATAGTAATAATCACTGCCCTCCAATGGTAGTGGCTGCCAATCGCTCAATCTGTGCCCATGGCAGATATGCCTAGTCCATAGTTGTTGGTTTTTCCCAGTTCAGTACCAAGACAAAGGCGCCCTATTAGTGTAGTGTGTTACAGCTGGACTGTTAACCACAGGTCAGCAGTTCAAATCTACCAGTCACTCCACAGGAGAAAGATGAGATTTTCTACTCCCGTGAAGATTTAATCTCAGAAACTCTACGGAGGGTCGCTATGTATGAGTCGGAAGTGACTTGTCGGCACACAACCACAACTTTACCAAGGCAAAGGTACCCTGGTGGCACAATGGATTAAGCATTGCGCTGCTAACCAAGAAATCAGTGGTTCGAACCCTACAGCCGCTCCATAGGATGAAGATGAGGCCGTTTTACACCCTCGGAAACCGTATAGAGCAGTCTGCTGAGTCGTATATGTGGACTCAATGGCAGTGGACTATACGACGGCAAACACTGCCTATTAGACCCAACTGTCTCATCCTGTGCCCTTGGCAGACATCATTAATCAACATTCTCCGAGCCTGTGCCTGTAGCCTGTAGCGGAATTTATGAATCAGTTTCCCAGTCCCACGAAGAGACAGGCATTGTTAATTGAGTACTGCGCTCTTTCCATTTCCTGCGGCAGGGAATACTAATCTATTATTGTGCCCAGTCAGTGCTAATCGATCACTGCACCATCCCTTTGAACTCCAGGCGCTACACACATTCTCCCAGAAGCCATCCTGATGCTAATGCTCGGTGTTACTGGGCAAGGTACTAACCCTCTCTGAGCCCTGCTTTCCTTATGGGCAAAATGAGGAAAATTACCCCTTCCTTGTAGATGTGTTGAGGAAGACTAGGAATGTAAAGTGCCCAGCTTGCAACAAGCAAGATACATAGATGTCCAATGGTGAGCTCTCCAGCTCCCAACACATGGCAGGCATTACCAATCAATCACAGTCCTCTCCTCCACGGAGCCTCAGAATCCTTCCTAACCCTACGTACCAGAGGCACATGTGCAACATGGAGTGGATTCCCCCTGCCTCCCAGGCTTGGCCTGAGGATCCTATGTGATTTCTGTAGCACTTGTGCCTCTTCTGTTAAAAAACCTACTCACTCCCCTAGAGAGAAATCAAGCACCCTTTCGGTGCAGGTTTTCAGAAGGACGTCACCCCAGGGCCCTCTAGCCTCCAACACCTCTTGTCTCTTCTCTAGAGGAGGACTCGACCATCCCCATCACGGTCCCAGGACGCCTGCCCGTCTCCCTGGCGGGCCACCCCGTGGTAGCGGCCCAGGCAGCCGCTGTTCAGGCAGCGGCCGCGCAGGCGGCTGTGGCAGCGCAGGCGGCGGCCCTGGAGCAACTCCGGGAGAAGCTGGAGTCTGGGGAACCTCCGGAGAAGAAGATGGCCCTGGTAGCCGATGAACAGCAGCGGTTCATGCAGCGAGCGCTGCAGCAGAATTTCCTGGCCATGACTGCCCAGCTGCCCATGAGCATACGGATCAACAGCCAAGGTACTGACCATCCCTGTTCCTACATGTGCACCCTTGGAGCCAACGTATGTAACGAGTACCGTAGATCCATCAGACAAGAACAAACCAATAAAGAAGCAGGCAGCTATGGCGAAGAAATTCATATGAATAGCTGTTCAGTTCCTTCTAGCGGGGGCCCTGTAAATGAACAAGGAAATAGCATTTTAACTCACTAGAATTGGAGTCCTGGTGTGGCGCTGTGGGCTGTGGGCTAATGCGTCAGACTGCAAAGCTGTTTGAACTGCAGGGTCGGTGGTTCAGGCTCACCAGCTGCTCCTCGGAAACCCTATACAGGGTCGCTATGGGTCGGAATCGACTTGATGGCACTTCACAACAAAAGAGTTGGATGGGTCAAGTGAGCGCCCAACGCGGGGGAAGTGCGCCCCTTCTGGCCTGTTGGTGGGAATGTAAATAAGTGACTTATGGTAGGAGAAGGAGTCCAGGTGTGGCGCTGTGGGTTAATGCGCCAGACTGCAAAGCCGGTTGAAGGTAAAGGTTGGCGGTTCAAGCTCACCAGCTGCTCCTCGGAAACCCTATACAGGGTCGCTATGGGTCGGACCCGACTCGGCGGCACATAACAACAACAACACAGTAGCACAGTGAGTTAAGTGTTGGGCTGCTAACCACAAGGTTTGCGGTTCAAACCCAGCAGCCGCTCCACAGCAGAAAGATAAGGCAGTCTGCTCCCGTAAAGAGGAACAGTTCAGCTCTGTCCTGTAGACTCAATGTGACCTCCTCAGTGACCTATTGGCTGTCTACAGCAGAGAACTTACGTTACAGGTGGACACATACCTACAAGGGTGTTCAATGCCATGTTGCTTATGATGGCAAAACCTACAAGTAACTTGTGTAGTCATTGGTTTGTTATTGCTGTCAAAGGCTGTTGAGTCAGTTCAACTCATAGTGACCCTGTGTAGGGTTTCCGAGGAGCAGCTGGTGAGTTTGAACCACCAACCTTGTGGTTGGCTGTCTAGTATTGATCCTACAACGCCACAATAAGAATCCCATCCATTGGTAGTGGGGATGAATAAACCAAATACAGAATCCTTTGCAGCTGTTACAAAGAATGAGACGGTTTAGGTGTTCTGACATCACAAAAAGCGACCTATAGACATATGTTCTGCTTCAACAAATATTTATTGAACACATACTCCAGTGTACATGGGGGCCAGAGAATGAATATGAACGGGACAGTCCGCACTGCAGTGGAGCTGTAAGTCTGCTGGGGAAGACAGACGTGAGACAGATCGTTGTGTTTAGGGTCATAAAACGTGGGTTTCTTTTTCCCACAGCTTCCGCCGAGAGCCGCCAGGACTCAGCTGTGAACCTAACCAGCACCAACGGCACCAACAGTATTAGCATGTCAGTCGAGATTAACGGTATCATGTACACAGGTACGACCACCAGGACCCCATGCCTACCTTGGCCATTTCTCTCCCAAAGTTTGCTCAGGAGTCCGGGGCTGCTCTAGGGCCTGGCCTCCTTGAGCCCAGCCTGGAGGATTGAAAACACAAGCAGGGATTTTATAGGATAGTCAAGGAGCAAAGTCTTCCCCTACAAGAAGCTTAGAAGCCTTAGGTTTTGCAAACAGATAAGCGTTTGACAAATAGCTGAAAGGCTTGTCCTGCAAACTGCCGCCCAGAGGAGAGGTGCCTGGGAAAACCGAGCTAGTGATGTTTCCCAGAGGCACATCCTTGAAAACGCCATGGAGGGCAGTTTACTCTGACGCTCATGGGTTGTTGGAATTGACTCCATGGAGAGTAAGAACACACGTTTGTGTGTTTAGCATGGTACTGTCTATATTGTAACCAAAACCCAAACCCAACCACCAGCACCGCCATCTATTTGGAATCATAGCAACCCTGTTTAGGGATTCCCAGGCTGTAAATCTTTGCGGGAGCAGACAGCCTTAACTTTCTCCCGCCAAACACCTGGTGAGTTTGAACTAACTACCAACTTTGCTGTTAGCAGTCAAGTGTTTATCGTACAATCCCTCAGGGCTCCTGATGTAGAAATGCTTACAAATACAATGGTGGTGTTGTTAAGTGCCATGGAGTCAGTTCCTACTCAGAGCTACCCTAGAAAGGGTTTTCAAGGAGAGGCTGGTGGGTTTGAACTGCTGACCTTGTGGTTAGCAGTTCAGTGCTTATCCTACTGCACAAATGTAAGTGCCATCAAGTCGGTTCCCACCCATAGCGACTCTGTGTAGAGTATCAGAAGAGCGCTGGTAAGCTTGAACCACTGACCTTGCAGTCCAGTGCATTAACCCAGAGCGTCACACGAGGCCTCCGCACAAATGCATGCTCATTAAATTTCCCCTTAAATAAATGGTAGGGTCAGCCTGGTTGTTCAGGTGGGCCACTAGGTGGCGCTGCAAACCCCGAACAGCTTGGTTGCTCTGTGGAATCAGAAAATGGAAACCGAGGCTAATGGGTGTTGGTAGCTGGGAGCCAACACACCCCTGAAATTGGACACAAGCTGTGTATACCAGGGGCTTCAGAAAGTTAATGGGAAATAGAATTTCCCCACGAGCCTTTCTGAAGCCCCCTTGTACATGTATGGTGTTTCTTAATAGAGGAAAGGGCCAACTGTGTAGGAAAGATTAATGAGACCTCCTAAACAACCTTGAATAATCACTGGCCGTGTGTGTATGTGTATGAGAGAGCCATCGATGAACGGATGTATCTAGGGGGAGTAGCATGTCGCGGCTCTCGCGTACCTTTCACCGAATCCTTGTAAAGCCTTCATTTATGTGTCCCCTGTCTTGCCGTAGGAGTCCTGTTTGCTCAGCCGCCCGCCCCAACGCCACCCTCGGCTCCCAGCAAAGGCGTTGGCGCTGGCGGAGGCAGCGGAGGGAATCGGGGAGGAAGCGGCAGTGGGACCAGCAACAGCTCAGGCAGCCAGGCCGGAGCATCGGGGCTGTCCGCAGCCCCTACGTCTTCTACCTCAAGTAACTCGGTGCCTTAACCGTAGCACTCCCCATCCACCACCCCACCACCCAGAAGCCCACCAGACTGGGCTAGGGGGTCAAGGTGGGCCAAGCAGGGGCCAGGATGGTGGAAAGATACGGGTGGGGAGAGGGAGGGGAGAGACACCCCACAAAGGAGCCACAGCTGACGCCAAAAAGAAAAAAAGAAAAAAAAAAAAAAAAAAAAAGCAGAGAAAAAATATATACATATATATATAAAGAAATTTTAATAAAACAGGGGAAAACCAAGGAACACTTGAATTTCTCAGGTTTTGGACATTCAGAGAGATGAATTGTGAGAACAGCCAAGGAGATGGGAAGAACAAGACAGCTCTGGTTGGCTGACAACTCTGATGTCTGGTTAGGACCAGTTGCAATGTAAAGCCGATCGTATGTTTACCTCATACATCCCTGCACTGTATAGTTTTATTTTTTTTTTTGTCTCTTATTTTATTTTCTTCATCACACACTCGTCATGACCTGCTCCTTGTGTTGAATGAAACCTGAGTCAAGATCAGCTGTTTTTTTTTGTTTTTTTTTTTTTAAAGAAATAACAACATTCAGACTATATCAAGTTTTTAAGGGGTTTTGGGGTTTTGTTTTGTAAATACTCTATTTTATTCTTTGATGGGGGGCTCAAGACTTAGCAAAAGGAGATATATATCTATATATTTGTGTTCATTCAGGGAAATCAGGCTTGAACAAGCAAAAAAAGAGAAAAAAACCACACTTTTAACTTTAAAACGACAGCAGTAACAGTGACGTGTAATAACCTTTTTATTTTCCTCTGTGTGAGGGGGACTCCTTTGTGCATTTTCTTTTGAGGCATTAGGCAGCTGGCCAGCCCAGGAGCCACCCCGAGGTGGCAAACTCAGGTGCTGTGGACCAGGCTGGGGGTTGTGGGGACACACTCTCCTTGTCGCTTTTCCCGGTGCTGTGCTCTGTGCGCGCTTTGTGGCCTCTCTGTTAGGAATCTGAGGATCTGACTAGAAAACAGAAGGTGCTTGTGATTTGGGAGAAGAGGCTGGGAGACTGAGAGGGGACCCTGCTTGTCTCAGCCCCCCAGGCCCCTGTCTCAGGGATGAATGTGGCCTGGGGGGTGGGGGAGGTGGCCTTTTTCTGGGCAGCAGCTGGACTCTCACCTACAAGGACTACTTTCAGGGACTATCAGTACTGGGCCCGGCTCAGATGGAGGATTTGTCTCTTCTTCCCTTTGTCATTTCCTCTTAGTCCCTTGCACATAGGGCCACCAGCTCCCCCCAGTTCTGCTGTGAAGGTACTATTACTCAGAAAGGCCTCCGCCCCATCCACTCCTGTGTCTAACTGCCCGCCCCCCAGGTTAGAAGCTGGGCGTCTGGGAACGCGGCTGGGCAGTGGATTTATTCCAAATGTCCGCAATCGGCAGCCTTTGGCGGCAGACAGGCGGAACCCCCAGGACCTGGATCTTAACGTGGTCACACTTTTCCCGTGCTGGCTTTTAATTTCTCTGGAGGGGGGATTAGCTCTGCTATTCCCAGGGTGATTCTGGGATCTGCACCCAGCCTCTCCGCCTATAATTGGGCCCAGGGAGCTGAGTGTAAGAGGCCTGGATGAGACTAGAGGTGGGGTGAGGCGGGGCCTCCCGGGTTCCTGGCCCCAGGCATCAGTTGTGTCGTCTTGGAGATAGATTCTCTTGGGGTATGGAACCCTGAGGGTTGCGTTCACTCTTAACTTGGGAGGCTTTGTGCTGTGTCTTAAGGGAGGAAAGCCCCCTTACTATGATGTATCTCAGGGTCGCTGACCCCCCCCACCCTTCCTGGAGGGGGTGGTAAGCATCTGGGGGTTTCCTCCCCATCTTCCTTTCTGCTCCATTCTCTCCTTCCCTGTCTATTCAAGCACAATCATGGAGGGGAAGGGGGGGTGCAGTCTCACCTAACAACCATCGGGGCTCTATGCAGTCTGTGCGCCCCTCCCACTCCCCTCCCCTGCCAAGGTGCCGTAGCCTTCATCCCCCTCTCTTTGCTCTTCTGCCCCACCTTTTCCTGCTGCCTTCTGGGGTATCCTAGCTCCTCCTGTCCAATGTGGGGGGTAGGCCCCAACCGTGGATGGGTGGGAATGTCGGCATTTCTGTCTACCTCAGGACTAACTTTGGATGCCAAAAGCCACGCGCCCGGGCCTAGCCTCTTCTCTCCCACCTAGAACTCGCGGAAGGTACAGGTTGGTTTACCTTCTTGCTCCCAAGCAGCCTGTGTCCACCCCATGCACGGTGGGGCGGGCGGGGGGTGGGGGTGTCAGTGTGTACAGGTACCAGGTGTGGGGGCTGCATGAGCCATCAGCCCCCTGCCCCCGGCACCAGGTGGGTAAGTTCTAACTCAGGGGACTTGGTCTCTGTTCAGCTCTGATGATTGTAGGGGCGGGTGGGGGTGGGCACGGGGCTGGGGACCCGTCTCCATGGCTAACTCAGGTGGGGGGAAAATGAGCGAGGTCCACGGGACCCCCACATCCGTGATGATCTGGGCCACAGGACCCTGTCTCTGCCTCCGGTGTCCCCATTAGACACCCTGCTACCTACCCCATCTCCCAACCTGTCAATCGGGCTTTAGGGAAAGGGTGGTTTTCTGGGGTACAGCTCAGCACCCCCTTATGCAAACCAGGGTGAGGATGGGGGCAGCTGTCTTAGCCACGTGGACTTTCCATTTATGTTCTCGATTCTGGAAGGGCTTGGCACACACAGGGACCCTCATCAAACTTGGGGTCTCAGAATTGTTCAAGGGGTGGGGAGGACAAAGGGTGTCTGTGGATGGGCCACTTGTAGGACCTTCCTTGTTACCTGTAAACTGGCCACAGTGTCTGGCTGTCGAGCTGTCGGGACGGCTGGGGGGGCGCCGTGTTGCTTTGTAAATGGCATGCCTTTTGTACACTTTTTTTGCTTTTATCCTTTTCGCTGTTTGGTTTCCTTTTTTATTCTCTTGGCAATCACATGACGTTCAGTTTCTTGGTGTGTGAAATTTCAGTTGCTCTAGGGTTCGTTAGGCGGCGTGGGGATCACGCCTGAACTCAGGTAAAAGGAAAAAAACACAAAACCTTGTAAAAAAGCAACAGAAACCATATTCTACCTCTGGCCCTGGCCACAGCGGGGCGTCCAGGACAATTTCAGTTTCTGCAGAACATTCAGGTATTAAAAGGAAAAAAAAACACCCCCTTTAAAAAAAAAAAAAAAAAAAAGATAAAAAGACCAAAACAAAAAAAAACCAAAAAAAAGGTGTGATTTTGAAATTTAAAAGAACACTGAAAGTTTACATTTTATAATAACATTATGCAGATTGTATTTAAACTTCAGAAATATTTAAGACAATTGTAACCCTGTAAAGTGGATGAAATATTAAAACAAAACCAAACACTTCTGACTTTTAACAAACATTGAGTCCAGTGGTGGTTTCTTGGAGCGTCGTGGCCAAGACCCGGGTGTGGGGTGGGTGGGTGGACACAGGATGGTCCCTGAGGCTGACTCTGGGTGGCAGAGTGACATGGGTCCTCATCCTGGGGGACATTTGGGGGTGCCATGACTTGGGTGGGATTGGTGTCAAGTGGGTGGGTGAGAACTACGCATGCTGCTCTACACGCCACCCCAGAGAAGCATCCAGCCCCAACCAAGTAGTGGCAGTTCAGAGTTCGAGATCCTGAATTGACTATTTGAAGACAATCGAGGTGGGTCCCTGTTGACACCAGATACTGGAGCAAACGCCCAGTGGGTCTGATGGCGGAAACCAGGTACCCTCTCACTCCTGGGATTCCCTTCCTCTCTCCTCTCCACTTGGACTTCTGGTGTGGCACACAGAACCACAAAGTCAGCAGTTCAAACCCACCAGCTGCTCCTTGGAAACCCAATGTAGGGTCGCTATGAGTCAGAACCCACTGACTTGACAATGGCACTTCCCAACAACTCCTCCCCCACTCAGTGTGGTCTGGGACCGAGACCCTGTGCTTTAACAGTTACAGGGGCTGGGACAGTTAAGGGATTGCTTAGATCAACAGTTAAGCCATCAGCTGCTAACCTCTAAAAGATTGACAGTTGGAACCCACTGAGCCGCTCTGAAGTTGGAAAACCTGCTGATTTGCGCCCATAAACATTGTGTGTGTGGTTAGGTGCCATCAAGTTGGTCCTGATTCATAGTGACCCTGTGTAGGACAGAAGCAATCACTGTACCAACCTCAAAATCTTTGCTGTTTCAGCCCACTGTTACAGACACTGTTAATCCATTTCATTGAGGGTCTTCCTGTTTATTGCTGACCCTCTACCTAACCGGGCACGATGTCCTTCTCCAGGCACTGATGCCTCCTGATAACATGTCCAAAGTATGTGACATAAAGTCTCGCCATCCTGGCTTCTAAAGAGCATTCTGACTGCCCTGCTTCCTGAACAGAGCTGTTTGTTTTCCTAGCAGTCCGTGGCGCACATTCGGTATTCTTTGCCAACACCATAACTCCGATATATTGATTCTTCTTGACATCCTCATAAGTTGACCGGTAGACAACATCACGATAAATGGAGAAAAGACTGAAGTTGTCAAGGGTTTCATTTTACTGGGAGCTTCAATCAACGCTTATGGAATGGGTGCAAACATGTGGCAAAAAACTTCTTTAAATACTTGGGAAATGATTAAAGCCCCAAAGCCACTGCCCTCAAGTGGATTCTGACTTCAGCACCCCACAGGACGGAGAACTGCTCCTTAATGTTTTCTAGGACTCATTCTTTATAGGAGTAAACATCCTCATGGTTGCTCTATGGAGTCACTGGTGGGTTTGAACCTCCAACTTTAGCACACAGCACCTATAGCCTAGAAACTTTAGGGGGTGCAGTTCTGTGAGTTGAAATTTACCCCAAGGTACATAACAGTGTCCTAGGAGGTCATGATTGTGGGGTGCAGAGTCTGGGTGTGAGTGGGGTCCCCTAACTAAAGGGTTCTCACCTGGGGTCATTCTTCCCCCAGGGGACACTATCTGGAGGACATTTTGTGAT